CATTCTATGATTCTATGAAAATAGGTGTCTCGGGCCAAAACAGTGGGAAGAAGGCTGAAGCACTGAAGTTGTCCATGTTTTCCTCACACCCTCAGTGATACTGTTTTGTTCATTTGTTTCACATATCCTCTTCTGGGTTTTCTGTGTAACTACAGTTGAATTACTTCTTTTCAAAGTGTTCTTTTTACTTTTTCTAGGTCAGCTGTACAAGCTAGAAGGGCTGAAAACCATTGCTGTGACAACCAATGGGATCAACTTAGCCAGATTGCTGCCCCGACTGAAGGAAGCAGGACTGAATGCCATTAACATTAGCCTGGATACCTTGGTCCCAGCTAAATTTGAGTTCATTGTCCGCAGGAAAGGTACAGGCTTGTCTGCTAAGGCCACCGTGTTAATACTTGCAGTAATGTTGTGAGTTGTTTGGCCTGTCTTTCACACTCTGTTATTTTGGGAGGGGAGTGGGTTGCTATCCTGAGGCTCAGAAAAGTAGCTTACAGGGGGTTGGTTGATAGTGACTCTTTTTCCTTCTTTCTACAATCCTCAGGCAGGTAGAGCCCTTAATTTGAGCTGGTGGAGTAGACGATGTCCAACTCACCACAGTTGGTGGGACTGAGACTACAGCTGCCAGTAACTGGCCGGTTACTGGTTAGTCATGGGTATCAAGAGGACTCTCTGAATCTTGTTTTGGTCTTGTGTGCTGCTGTTCTTAATACTGTTCAAAAAACAGATGTTCCTGTTCCAGATGCCACAAGAACTGAACTTCTTATCACAAATCGTGGCATTTTCCAGAAGTTATATTTGGGGCATGCTGGCAGTGGTCTCACTCGTGATTAGTGATGCTCCCTACCTCCACTACTTTTTGCTAGGAATAAACATAAACCATGCCTGAGGTCACTTGCGGAGGGGTGCTAGCTTTGTAACTTCTCTCCGATTCAGCTAGTAATTCCAAACAGAGCTTGAAAAATGTTTGCATGTGCTCAGTGTTACAGATCACTGTTTAAATGAATCCTCATCGTGAAGTTCAACTTCACAGTTGGGTTTCTTTCCAACCTAAAACTGATCTGATCTCGTTTCGTGCTGTTTCTGCCCAGTAATGCAACTTTGTCACCCTGGACGTTTAATTCAGTCAAACCTCCAAGTAGCCACGAGATGGCGCAATTGCGTAAGATAAAATTAGGGCAAGGGCTGGTAGGAATCTGGGATGTTGTGAGAAGGAATTTCAAGGCCTGTATCACTCTGTTATCAAATCGAAGTTCTGCTGACAGGTGCAGAAAGGTGTCCTTGTCTACAGTCTCTCTGAGAGCACTTTCTTCATGTTTCTACATCACGGTGCAGAAATCTGTTCCTGTCATAAATCTGACTGGAGCGTTAACCTTCCAGCGTAGGCTGTTGCATTAATCTGGTTGTGTCATGGCACAATTGGCTCCCAGAGAAGTATCTGGGAGCATCTGATCACAAGCAGGTGTTGGCTGTGCTCTTTCCTTCTGCTCTCTGCATTTGAATATTACCTGGTTTGTGACATTGGCTGGCAGCAAGCCCTTCCTTTGCTACTGAAGGGGCAAACCTGATCCTCCAGCTTCCTGAATTATGTGGCCACAGCTCTTCATGTCCAATTGGAAGTTTTTAGAAATGTGCTGTTTATAAAGTAAACTAAAAGTTATTGGTGGACGATGATGGTAATTTTTATTTATACAAATGTTCTCTTCCCCCTTTAAAAAAAAAAAAGGTCTCTAACCACAAAGAGAGAAGTTGCTCAGTTGAATAACATACAGAATGAACAGGGAAGCTTCTCTGAATCAATGTTTTCAAGGAAGAAAATAAAGTCACCAAATAGTATTTTTTAAGTGGCAGTCAGGTAAAAACAGTAACACTGAGCTGGGCTTTTTCTCTTCTTAAGGGCTGAAATTATGTAAAAAAATTCTTTTTTGAGAGTTTTTTATTTAATAGGAGATTTCCAGGTATGGAATGAGCAGAGAATAAAGTGCCTGCCCTACTGTGCTACCCTGTCTCCTGTGGCAGTTCCAGAGGCAACAAGATATAGCTCTGTTAAGGTGAGAGGGATTCCTGGTCTTAGATTCCTACAGGCTGGTAACTTCTGTGGAAAGTCAAGGTGACATCTGGTTATGGAGCTAACCAGGAGCTCAAGAAATTTGGAATCGATTTTTCTGCTCCTCCAGAAACTCATTCTAGGGTTTTTCAGAGGAGGCTGGAATTTTGTGTCTTTGGTGCAGGTGACCTGCATTACGTCTTCTTTTATTCCCAAACAGCTGGGATGGAGTCAATGACTGTGAGATGATCAGGGGTCTCACTGATGTGTGAAAGCACATCAGAGAACCATAATATTTGCACTTCTCCCCATCTACCACATTCTAAGGGATGAACAAATAAAAACTACTTTCTTGTAGGTAGCCAGGCTTTCTTGAAGCCTTCCTTCCTGTAAGGATTAAATGCTGGGAGGTGTTGTCCCACTTGGGATTGTTCTAGATGTGTCTCAGGTTCTCTCTGTTTTAAAGTTGGAAATCTAAAAGGATGAAAATACAGAAACTTTTCGTTGGATGGAAGAGGAGAAGGGTTGTCATTTTTGAAATGTCAAACAAAAACTTAGAGAGCTTCTGTGCCTTGACAATACTTCCTGGCACAATGACATTTAGTATTCATTTCTGCTCTGATATTTTGAAATGTTTTGGTTTTACTGTTTTTGCTCCATTACCACACAAGAACTTTAAACTAGAAGATGTTTCAGTAAGTGTGGCAATACAAATGAACTCCTAACAGCTTTCCATAAAGAGAAAACAGGCAACTTCAAAACATGAAACATAGTTACAGATTTTTATTTTCTTACTGTAACAAATTTTTATTTTAAATAATTACCCTGCCCCCAAAATCTTTTAGTGGATACAAGCTCATAGTTGTTGTTAATCAGAATAGCTTACTATTTTGTTTGTTTGTTTGTAGAGATTTTTGATAGCTGTTCTAAACCATGTTCTTGTGATAGCGTGGCAGGAGTTGAGAGGCAGAATGGAGAAGGATGTTGAGTTGGCTGCAATGGGAGCTGTAACCCTGTTCCATACCTCTACAGCGAGCTGAGCCCAAGCTTGCGAGTATTCAGACGTGCAGTTTTGACCTGCTGCTTGCTAGTGATTGCTTCCTGGCCTTTTTAGTTAAATTCAGCTCCACCTTTCTGCAATCCTGAAGTTGCACATAAGGTTTTTCGAGCTGTTGCAGAGCTTTTTGATCCCATTCCTGGCTCTGGGATATGCTTACACCAGTGTATCATTATCTCTGTTGCCACATTCAACCTGCAAACTTGCTTAATGGGAATGAAAGCTATACCACCTCTGCTGCACACTTCCTGGGCATGCTGAAAACCAGTGGGTGGTGAAGGAGAAGGGTGACAAGTTAGAAGTTCAAACAGTTGCTTGCAGGAGTTAGTTTGCTGTCTTCTCCTTGATCTTCGCCTCTCTTTTGCAGCCAGGACTAGCATTAGGACCTGCTTATAAAACAGTTAGCATCTTCTGCTTTCCTGTGTTCATGCTTTATAATGCCTTTACTGGCCAGAAAGCAGTTAAGTGAAAGGTTTTTTAAGTTTTTAAGGTTTTTTAAGCAGTTAAGTGAAAGGCTTATTTCTGGTAAAGCACCAACAGGTAATGAAGGTATCATCTCTTCACTAGAGAATCTGAGTTTCCAGTAGATAAGGAAGAGGAGTGTGATGGACCTATGCAGAAAAACATGGAACTAGGAACAGCACAGGGATTGTCAGCACAACTTTTGGAAGATACTGCCCTTTTGCTAGCATCCATAAAGTATTTGCTGTGGAAGACTACAGCTTTGGAAGAAGCAGCTCAATCTCAGACAGTGTTTGGTGTCTCACACCTGAGTTCGGAGTGCAGAAAAGGAAGGGAACGCAGTCTCCAGCACCTGACAGGGCAGGAGAGGCATTCACAAACACAGGGCTAGCACCTGAGCACGCCCACTCACCAGAACTGCGTACCCAGAGCTCGGTAGCTTCCTGTCTCGTTCTTGGTTCTTCTCTGCCAGTTGGTGAGTGTGCCTGGGAAAGAATAATAGGTCAAATGTAAAATTGATACCATGATGGAAGGTCTTAACTTTGTATAAAGTTGACAGAAGGTGTGGTTTGAATGAGATGATTAAGAGGCTTTCCTAAAGGCCTTTGGAATTCCAAAATAACATTGTTGCTTTATTTTTCTTCCAAATTTAGAAGGTACATGAGGGGTTGAAGATACTTAACCCTACATTAACTATATATCTGTGTCTGGGAGCAGCTGACAGTTCTGGTACAGTGAGACCAGGCACGTCGTTCCTTGAAGTCATTGCAGTTTCTGATACGTTTCATTTCTTTTCAAGGGTCAAAGGCCAAACAAATTTCTTTCCTAAATGCTCTAATACCCTCCCCAAGTTGTGCTCATGAATTTTACATGTTTAAAAAAATCATAAAAATGGCAATCCTGTAAAATGCTGTCTGTGATCTTCAAACTAATGGGTAGACAGTAGCTTTGGGATGCCCATTACATCTGTAGCCAGGGTTGCACAGGGAATCAAGGGGCTTTTGTTTGTTCCTAACCCTGCTCCCCTCCATACATACTTTAGAAAGTTCTTTTTAAAATTCACTTAGCAATATTGCTGTCTGTTTCAAAACAGTGAGATTCTGCCATTTCAGAGAACATACACGTGCTATTATTATCAAATAAACATTGATTTAGTGTTCTTTCTTCACTGCACCTGGAGGTGGTCCACTAAGGCTTGCCACTCCCTTTAAGAACAACAGCACAAGGCAAAGCTGAATTGTGGGGAAGTGGAGAATCATATGCTAATTACACATGGATGTCCAAAGATGCAGAAGAGCATACCAGTATTTCTGAGTAGCCATATACCAGTTAAAAAATGTATCTCTCTTGACTTGACCACAGTAACACTGGCAGTCTTTGGGGAGGGGGTGTGTAGCATTGAAGTCTCTTTATGTGCAGCTCGTCCTACGTGCAGCCCTGTCTGCTGAATCAGATTGGGCTTTATTTGTCATCTTTTGTCTTGTACTTAATAACTTCCTTTTGCATTCTGTTTCTAAACAAGAAAAATAAATTTTTATTCTTTTTGTATCTTAGGCTTTCACAAGGTAATGGAAGGAATCCACAAAGCCACTGAACTTGGCTACCGTCCTGTTAAGGTAAAGCCAGTGTTTATATACTCTGGAGTTGTTGTGTTTTACCATAAATGGTGATAAAAGATACAGCTCACCAGATGGGGAATTATTTCTGCTTCCCCTGTGAATAATTTTCAGTTAAGACTGCCTAAAGAAAAATTTTATTTGACTGAAAAAAGTGTTAGTAGCCTGAAGATCACATCAAGAAGTGATGGGGGCAATTCATATCATCTCCTCACGCAGCTGAGCGTACCGCTTCACTCTGCCACAAAGCCTGTTGACTGCCTAGCTGCAGGCTACAGGCTGGTCCTGCTCTGTACTTGCCTCTTCCTACCCCCTCTGTTGATTTGGCATTTGTCTGACCCATCTGTGAACTTGGCCAGGGGAGTTAACAGGCAGAAAACTGCCCTGCAGAAAGGCATTCATTTTCTCCTGGTTTATCTCCTACAGCAGGCTCTGACTGGTGCCAGTGGGAGAGAGGGGAAAGGAGTCCTCCTCTGGGGGTGCAGGTAGACCAGGTTAGCTGTAACGTGAAACTTCACCCCACCTCAGCTGTTTGCAGTTCTGCAGTTGTGGTTTCCTTATTTTCACCTGTGCTTTGGAAGATGTGTAAGTGGCTTAGGCTACAGAGATATGAAAAAGACTTGAAATTAAACGAGGTTTTAGGCTTTCCTGAAAGATCCTGAGAATGATGATGCATGATGCTCGGACATATAAGTCTGCCGTGCTAACAGGGAAGGTTTTAGCACCTGCACAGCTATCTGTTGTTTTTCAGATAAAGCAGACAGGACTGCCTTAAACCATTTAAATTGGAATAATTAACATTTATGAGGAATGTGCGGAAAACTTAGTTTTAAACTCCTTTTGGAGGAAGGCAGAGCTAGTCATTCTGCAGCCTATGGTTACGGAGTGTGCTGTGAACGCTGCCTGGTTGGGGGCATTTGCCTGTCATCGGCTAAAAGGAGAGCTGGAGGAGCCACCCTGCCAGTTCTTTCACAGCAGCCGTACAACGTAGGGCTGGGGAGTGACGTTGTCATTTTAAACAGTCAAAGCTGCCATACCTTAGGTGGGTATGACAATGTCTTTGTTACCCCACTGTTATTAGTCTTCCATTTATCCAGGCAACTTTAACAACTTTATTTAGTTTGGATGCAAAAACTTAACAGGCAGGTTTGGCAGAAAGGATCATCTGTACCATTCCAAACCTGCCAGCTTCTCTTGCCACCTTTTCTTTCCAAAAAAACCAAAAGTTCTTCCTATCTACCTTGCCTTCTGCAGGGACTACGAAACCTTGTGTAAGAGGGCAGAAGGTCATACTGTGCTCACTGATTTCAGGTGTCTGCTTTTCCTGCAGGTAAACTGTGTGGTGATGCGAGGCTTCAATGAGGATGAACTGCTGAGCTTTGTGGATTTCACAAAGGATCTGCCCCTTGATGTGCGGTTCATAGAGTACATGCCCTTTGATGGTAAGCGGTCCTGCTTCCAGATCCTTAGTGGCGTGGAGCGTGTCTTGGACACAGATGAATCTGATTGGTGGTTGTTCACCCCGTGGGTTTGTCTCTGCAAGTTCTGGTGAGCTGTTTTGGGAATTAGGAATTGCCTTAAGTTTTATGTTGTGTTTTTCACAGCTTATCTGTCTTCCCTGGATAAGCTGGAGAAGGATTAGTAGCAGGATTAGTTGGGGCTGGGACACCTACAGGGGAAACTGAGATTTGTGGGGAATGTAAAGGTGGTTCTCTGCTAATTTAAAAAAAAAAAATAAAATCCACAGTCTAAAGTTATGCTGGTTTTGTTAATTCTAGGCAATAAATGGAACTTCAGGAAGATGGTGAGCTACAAAGAAATGCTTGATACAATTAGGCAGCGATGGCCTGAACTGGAGAAATTGCCCTGTGAAGCTTCCAGCACAGCCAAGGTAGGCTTAGTCAAAGAACATATGAAATGTGCCCACATCCTTTAAAAAAAACTCTAAATCCCCAAATTCACTCAAGTCTGCCATTTATATTTGACAAGCAAATTAAAAAATACTCAGTAACTCTGGGATTTTGGTCAGGCTGCCTGCATGTGGCTGGGCTCCTGTTAAACCCTGCTCACGGTCTACCTTTAGCAATACAGCATGTTTGCTAGATGCCTTGGACAGAGATAAATAATGGCAGGCTTGTATCCTGTACCTGCAGCTTTTGAAACTTTTGTCTGGCTACGACTGCACGTTAACAAGCCTGATGGTGTTCAGTGAAATAACGGTATTTCTTTAGAGCGTGCAGTGTCACGAGGGGGGTTTCTAGCCTACATGAATCTATGGCTCATGGCCATCTGAGCAAGAATATGCCTGCAGGCATAACCTGTCAGCTGATAACTACAAGAGCAAACATTTTACACGTTTGTGAATTTCTAGGAACAGGGCAGAATAGACCAGAACCCCTGACAAAGCTGATTTTGCGCTTCCCCCCCCCGCCATGCGATCTTAGAACTGAAGAAAATCTGTGTTAGAATGTCTTCTGGTCTTCAGGCAAGTGGAGCTTTAAAAATGAGGATTCTATATTTGATTCTTCTTCTTTTCTTTTCCTCCTCTGCATTTCTTTAGAGTTATAAGGTGCCACATTTCCAGGGACAGGTCAGCTTTATCACCTCCATGTCGGAGCACTTCTGCGGATCCTGCAATCGGCTGAGGATAACAGCAGACGGGAACCTAAAGGTTGGTAACGAAACGTGATTCTCTTTGCTTTCGTGCAGCGAAAGCAGTGTTGAAATTCTTCCCTTAAAAGTGGCTGGGATGCAGACTGGGATGGAAAGACGCATAATTATTACCAGCTAACTCCAGTTTATCTATCCTGTATGTGTCCTTGTTCAAGCCTGTTGGGCTGTTAGGGAGGTGTTACATCACCTTTTTTTTTTTTGGTTACTCTGTTTTGCTAACATAGTTAACTTCTGTTGTAAAACATGGTCACAAGGCCAGTAAATATAAATATTTATTTTAATCTTTGATTCAGAGTCATCTTAAACATGTGACAAGCAGATGATTTCCCATGAAAAAAGGGTCCAAGCAGCTGTGAGGGCTGGGCTTTTGTGTTCCACGAGGATCCAGTCTTGTTTCCCCAAACATCTTCTTGCAACTCTCCTCCTTCAAGAGCAGCCTGTACATTCGCTCAACGGCTGTAGAAGTGAGAGGGCTAACCATTTCCTGCCACGTTGAAACTGGCAGTTTCTGGGGGAAAATTAAAGTTTTCAATTAAAAATTGGCTCTTGCGCATTGTCACCTGATACTGACAACAGCTGTGCTGCTGCCTGATGTCAGATGGCCGAGGCAGCCTGAAGGCCCAACGGGTTTAGGTTACATAAACGTCCCAGGCTGCCTCTGCCTGTTTACATGAAGAGAGATAAAGAAAATCGCCATAAACTTTCTCTTTCTTCAGTAAGATAGGCCTCTTCCAACCTCTTTACTCTGGGGTTAGTAAGAAATACTTGTAAAAGCCATTTATTTTACTCTTTCTCCCTTCTCTTTCTCCTTCTTCAAAAAGGTGTGCCTTTTTGGGAATTCAGAAGTGTCCTTGAGAGATCACCTACGGTCAGGTGCCTCAGAGGAAGAGTTGGTTCAGATCATTGGAGCAGCAGTGGGCAGAAAAAAGAAACAGCATGCTGGTATGTTTGTTTTGTACCTGAGAAATAACAGCAATGAGGGGGGAAAACAATGTCCTGGTACGCTTGTGGGATGCACTGACTTGCCAGGAGAAAGAAAGAAAGAAGGAAAAGCTTCTTGAATGAAGCTGCATTAACTAAGGAAGGAATTTTCCCATCTGGCAAAGATGTCTGGTAGAAAGCTGGTAAGATACCAGTCCTGCAGTTACTCTGAAATTTGGATGTCAGCTTTGAGTCTTCTAATTTTCCACGTGAGCTAGAATCCAGACTGTCTGCAAGTCTTTCAGACTGACTTGTCTTCACAGATGCAAATACCACTGCTCATGATAACAACAGCAAAGCGTAAAGCTAAGCAAAAATTGATGGAGTTGTACTGGATCCTTTTTTTCTTAAAATTAGTTTGCTGTAAAATAAGGACTAAAGGTAAATTGAAATTGGTAGCCACTCACCTAGTGCTCTATGTAAGGTCATGACACAAGGTCCGTGATGATGCAGTCAGGCTCTCAGGCTGTATTGGTCTTTTCTGAACTTCTCTTGATACAAACTGTGTTTCAGTCACGTCTGAACTGAACCCTAATCTGGCTGCAGCTGGGAATGCTGACCTCTTGTACATGAACTGGCTTCGGGATCATGGAATAGTCCCCTTTACACTAAAAAAATGCTTTGGCCTTTTTGTTCACTTCCAGATTCTGCCAGATTACTCACAATTGGGTTTGCCTTTTTTTTTTTGTGATACATAAAACAGATTTAAAGGAAGTTTTTTAATCTGAGCGCTGACTAATTTGCAAAGTGCAGTACTCTGACCCAGATAAAATAGTGCCTTGTAAACATAAGGGAAGGGGTGGAGGGATTGGTTCCTTTTCTTTTAGGCCATTCATTTCATTTCTGAATTTTTGATTTTTGGAAAGGGGCAGGGGGGCAAGGGGTGTTTTCCCCTCTAGTAAGGGCACTGCCATCAGCAGCATTTACCTGACACTGTCTGTCTTCTTCCAGTTTGTGTTAATCCCAGTGTTGTCCCTGAGGACTTCTGTGATGGGACTTCTTTGAGCTGGAACACTGCTAACAGCTTGTCCATACAACTAGTACTTTTAAATGCTGCTGTTAAGAAACGAGACAGCCCCAAGTTGGTGGAATTCTGTAGTAGGTAGATCATGGAAAGGGTTCTACAGCATGATAGCCCCCTAGAAGCTGGATGCTTGGAGACTCTGGCAGCTGTGGTTTTACATAATATCACGCTACATTCCCTCTCCTCCAGCTCCCTCGCTTTCTGTTGAGCTTTGGTTTTCATAGCATGCAGGTTGCACTATGAAGAACAGAAAACTAAATATATAAACCAGATGCATGACTTAAAACCTAAAAAGCTAGGATTTTTATGTGTTCCTTATTTTATTTCTAGGCATGTTTAACATCTCCCAGATGAAAAACCGGCCAATGATCCTGATTGGTGGGTGACAAATCAGTACGTAATACACACATACCATGATTTTGTTTGGTTTTTGTCTTTGGGGGAGCAGAGTGGATTGGGCTTTTATGTTTAACTTGTGTTTGGTCCTGGCTTAGGTTTAGGCAAAGAAATGGGTCTCTTAGAAGGCAGTTGTGGTTAAAATTACACTGAAGTGGAAGAGGAGGAAAGGTTTAATGCCCCTACCAAGCCTTACCCAGTCTTCTCAGTGACAGCGCTGATTTTGTTTTCTCTCGTTTTGAAAGTTTATTACATTTTTCCATGAGGATCCACTAGCTTTCCTATGTCATTTCCTATCCGCTTCCTTTGTACTTAACAAGAATAGTATAGTAACTAATAAGGCAGTTTGGGGTGAGTTTTATGAAACCGACCAAATGTCCATGCTGTATCCTTGATGTTTATATGGCATTTTGTGCCTGGATGAAGAAATTCAACTTTAATTATAAAGTATAGAGACAGTAGCCTTCCAGAAATGCAAGTTTTCCCACCTCACCACTACTTTACCTGAGAATCTGAATCTTGGGGTTTTATTCTTTGGAAACGTCCTCTCACTGCTGCAAGGCCCAGAACACAGTCACGGAAACTGTAGTATCTGATCTCTAACCAGCCCTAGGGGCAAGAGCTCTTCTTCTCCTTGCTGTGTCTATTGCAGATGTTTGCTAGCTCTGCCTTCTGCTTGAAGCTCTGTTCACGAGCAGTGTGGCACTGCTGCGTTCTCATACTGATTTTTCACATCTCCTTCAGTGTGGTTTTACCTCCTCCATGTCTCATCCTCCTACTGATGCTCTGGAGCAGGTTAGCTGTCACACAGCTTTTAAAACCAGTACCGTGGGGGAGGGCAAGGGTAACATGCATTAACTTGCAGGTCTTTGCTACTAGGTGATACAACTGCTCTTTTTTTAACCAAGATGCTAGTACTTGTGTTGCCTTTATTGGGAAACAGGACCTACAGAGGTCTTTTAGCATAGTTGCTGGTTTTGCTGGGACTACTTCTCTCTTGCTGCCCCTCTTTAACGTGCTGTCACTTCCCGTGTTGAGTTTGAAGGTGAATGGGTTCAGTGGTGCAAGATTGTCTCTCAGCTTGCTTTTGCTCTCTTGTATTTGGCCACTGCTGCAGGAGAAAGAGGAACCTTTGTTTAAATTGTGCATTGACTTGCTGCAAGAGGAAAACCTGTCTTTTTTTAAGATATTAAACTCTTGACAACTCACTGGGACCTACCTAATTTTTCAAGATGCCTTGCAGAGAATCCCTGCACTCTAAAGCTGGCTTTCATAGCAATGTTTGGATGTCTACAGATCACATCCATCCCATTTCCTTTTGAAAAGTGCTTTAACAGCATCTGACATACAGTAAAAGAGGGAGCCTGTCCAGGTCCTCTCCCAGCTGTTCCGTGTCCCTGCGAGGCTAAGTGCTGGCAGTCACCGCATCAGTGGAGAGACTGGAGATGAGTGTAGATTATCCCACTGTGACACGTGGGGAATCATTAGGAGATTTCCTAGTTTTGTTTTGAATTACTTACAAACTTCAAGTAATGCTGGTGTGCAAGCAGTCGGGGGGTGTGTGTATGGAATTAATTTAATGAATGCTGTGCAAATCACTAATTGGTTTTGCTAGTCACAGTAAGCCAAACCTGGCTTTTTCCCTGCACTGCTGTTGTCTGATCCTTTGCTCCATGGTTTGTATCCTGTTTTCTTTAATAATAATACTCCATTTGGCAGGTTGTTCTCCTCATGGGTTCACTTCAGTTATGGGAATTTCTTCCTTAAGTATCTCCTGCCTTCTCTCCCACCCCCCCAGGCTGTGCTAGCTGGAAACAAACATGGTTGAACTTCAGGTGCAGTAACAGAATAAGAGGAGATGCAGTTTCAGTTGCGTTACACAAAGTGCTGTTGAAAACCATGATCTATATATATATAAACAATTTGGGTGAAGATAGAGGTGGCTAGGTACAATTTGAAGAAAAGGTGGGTTCTTAGGAAAAGCCAAGGTGCTTTGCGTGCATTACTGCCTGTTGCTGTCCGTTTACTCACCAACTCTGCCCACGCAAACGGTACCTCTCTTCCCTGCCGCCTCCCGTTTGTGTTTGCCCTGCAGAAGTAAGTCCTTGCCTGCCTTTGCAATCCAGCTTTTCCCGAGGACAAGACACCATGCCAGGGCTTTAGCTTCAACTTGAAAGATAATCAAGGAACCCAGAACAGAGTACTTTGAATTCCTGGATTTTAAAAGGAATATTCATGTTAGGCCCTGCTGTATAAGGAGACAAGGAAAGAAAGGAGGAATAAGCACATTTTCTGTGCTCTTCTAAAGCAGAGCAATGTTACACTCAAAAGTTATGTCCATTTAATCCCATTGCTCTGGGGGTAAACACATTACCACTAAACTTGCAGTGATCTTAATTTTAGGGGATAAGCCATCAGCTGTGATCAAAAAGGGCCTTTGCCTGAGTTTAGATTATTGCTGTGATTAAATAAAAAAATGGATGGTTGATTAACCTTCATGGTAATGGGCACTTTCAGATCAATGTTTGAAGAGTACTCTGGATGGAAAAGGTGCTAAGTCCATCCATCTTGTTTTTGTAGAGGCTGGGAGTAACAAGGAAGAGATTTGTTTGGGTTTTTTTTAAATAACAAGAGGGCAGGGGGCACAGCCACTGCCTCGTGCACACTGCCTGTTACTGTCGTGCAGACAGGCCAAGGTGAGGCCTGGGCAGCAGAGGTGGCTCAGCAAGGGGCAGGAAGCTGCTTTGATTCACCTGTAAGGGAGTCCCTGAATACCAGAGCTACCAAAGCTACCAGAGCTTATTGAGCAAAGCCTAATTCCAAGTTTCTCAGAGAGCAGGAGCTCCAAGGGAAAAAAAAAAAAAAAAAAAAAGAGAGAGAGAGAGAAACATACTTATCAGTGAGGCTGTTAAACTAGGGTTTAGCCACTTAGTCTATACAAAGCAAATCACTGCTTTTATGTGAAAAAGACTCCTCCTGTCTTGACACTTGGCATTTAGCCCTGTGCAAATGCCAGAACGAAGGGATTAAATGGTGAAAAGGGGCAGGAGGGTTTTCTACCTCTCTGCCAGCTGGGAGCTCTGCCAGCTCAACTTGGAACATACTTCTGAGTAGATTTAAAATTTGTCTGTCCACGAGGGGAGCGTGGTTTTTCCAGTGCTTAAACTTCAGCTGTCATTAACATGGTACGAGCTGGCAGTACTGAGGTTCCCATCACAGAGCCACCCTGTGAGCTCGCAGACGGTGCCGTTGTGGACGCGGCGCGCTGGGTCCCTGCTGTCCCCAGGTGCTGGTGCGACCCTTCCCTGCAGATGAACACAGGGAGTGCAGCCGCCTGTGCTGGAAGGTGTTTGGAGAGGCAGAGTTGAGAATCCAAGTGCAAGAATTTCCCTTCAACCCTGCCAGCCTTTTGAAAGAAGAGTGGTGCTGGGACAGTCTCACATGGAAGCCAAGATGCTGTGACTGGCTTTTCTTTAGAACTGATGTTCCTATAAGCATTTTTTGGCTGCTGTTTCTCAATAAGCACTGATAGTTTTTGAAAGCAAGTTGTTTCTTCTTGTCAGGGACCTCAAAATAAGTGTTTCGAGTCTTGGGGTTTGTAATAACAACCCAGCAGACGCAGAGAACTGATGAGAGAGAAGAGAAAGAGCTTGAGGATGAAAGTGGATGTTTGTAGACACTGAGGCTTCTACGATACAGAAAGTCCCAAGCAGTGCTCCAACAGGGTTCTCAGCTGCTGCAGACTTAGCTTCCCCGTTAGTAAGATGCATTCTCATGTTGGTTTTTCTTTTCCCTCCCAGAGCCTGCATTGATGTCATTCCCACTATGCCAAGAGGCCCTACAGAATCCCCCAAATTCAAAACAGTGGGGCCACACATTTAGCCATTGGCTGACTTTGACAGCAAGTTTACCCAAACAAATGGGAAAAGCATTAATGAAAAATAAGCTTACAGGACAAATTTTCCTGCCAGGATCTCACCCAGAGCAACAGTGGCACATAATGACAGGAATTCTACAAACCCAGCTCAGAGGCTGCCGTGTCTTCCAGAAGGACCCAAGCACCACGTTTGACACTAAGTGCCTTGAGGCTTTTCCCGTTGGCCAGGGTTCTGTGGACTGTCAGTCCAAAGAGGCAAGTCCAGGATCTGAATTCTGTGCCAGGGATTCGGGGCCTTGCACCAAGGTACCTCGTGCCTCTGACAGCTTGACTCACACTGATGAGGAAGGACGGGCCACGATGGTTGATGTTGGAGAGAAGCCAGGTTCAAGAAGAAGTGCTGCTGCTGGTGCTGTGGTCCGCCTGGGTGAGAAAGCATTTGGGATGGTGAGGCAGAACCAGATGAAGAAAGGGGATGTGCTGGCAGTAGCCCAGATTGCAGGAATTCAGGGAGCCAAGCTGACCAGCCAGCTGATCCCGTTGTGTCACAACATTCCCCTCAACCATGTTGACGTGTCTCTGAGCCTGGATGAGGCCAGGCATGCAGTGGTGATTCGCAGCTCCTGTCAGACCTGGGGGAGGACGGGAGTGGAGATGGAAGCTCTGACAGCTGCCAGCCTGGCTGCCCTCACGGTGTACGACATGTGCAAAGCGGTCACTCACGACATTGTGATCGAAGAGGTGAAGTTGCTGAGTAAGACAGGTGGGCAGAGGGGAGACTTCTCAAGGGCCTAGGTCGTATCCAGATGCCGCCCGCCCCCAGATGACCACAGCTCATGTTCAGCCTCGGACAGAACTGCCTTTGCTCAGCTGGCGGGCTCGGAGACCGCAGCAGACGTACCATGCAGCCACCCCGACTCCAGCTTTGCCTTACCCTGTCGGCTTCCTGACACTTCTCCCTGTTGATAACCGTGCGTGGTTGTAGAGGACAGACTTCTCCACGCTGCCAGTACCTTCATCTCTGTGTCCTCACCCTGAGCTTGAGGAAAGATTCCTACTTAGACCACAGAGGTGGTTTTATGTTTGGGGTTGTTTTCCTTCTTGCTCTGCAATATTCACAGCTGCTGTCATCACACCACACAACTGTGAGCTCTGGAAACGGAGCAAGTGCTGAAAGCGCTGTTCTTTGGCAACTATTTATAAGTCAAGGATTAAGATTTCAGAGTGGTGTCTGTCTGCCCCCCTGACCTCCTTTGTTGAGTTTAGGAGGTGGCAGGAGAAGAACACAGCTCGGGAACCTTACCATCCAGCACAGAGAACTGTGGAATACATGGGTCGGAGAGGCAGCTCCCATCCCTTCACATGGCTCCTGCTTCCCTTGCCTGCAGGTGGGACACATCCACATACCACTTTCAAAACAAAGGTGGCAGCTGCCCAGCATTCTGCCCTGAGCGCTCTGTGGAACAGGGTGTAGAGACAGAGCGGTTAGTGGCTGATTGGAACGATACCTTTTACGATGTTAGAAGCATGTTCCAGCATTTTGATCTCAGCACTCAAATACAGCGAGGCCCGGTGTCTGCATGCCTAAGGGCTTAATTATGTCATGCACGGAAGTTGGTGTCAGCTCTCCCTGACTTCAGAAATAGAAGTCACACCAAGCCCCCCCAGAAGTCCACGTTTTTTAAGCCTATACAATGCAACTCCTAGTAACCAGCAACCTGCACAGTCCTAACAGATAAACTTTAAGACTAGATGCCACTGGGAAAACTGAAGTTGTTGCTGCAGCCGGAGTGTTTTCCTGCATGTTTCTCTCATTTGCTTTCATGAAGTCTTCTGGCCTCAGAGCACTTAAGTGTCCCCATAAATGTACTGGTGGCCACTGCCATGTAACAGTAAGTAGCTTTGATTTATGACTATCCTAGGTAAGAAACTACTTGACGTTGTTTTGTTAATACTGATGGGTCCTTTTCAAATGCTAATTTAAGTGCTCTAAGCAGGGTGTTTTCAACTTTGGTTTACTTGTTTTCTAGTGCTTATGGCTAACCTGAAGCCACAGGTGATTTAGGGTGCTCCCTCTCCATAACGCACAGAGAGATGAAGACAGAGGCTACTGGAAAGCATCCTGAACTTAGCAAGTAGCTGCTTCTCATGAAATAAGGTTCAATTCCTGTGAGCAGAGTAAAGCACACACCGCAGTCGCGCACGTCCTGCTCGCTTAAATAAGTGCAGGTCTAAGATGAGGAGGCAGTACGTTTCACAGCAACTGTCTTTGCAAATCTCCTACACTAGTTACCACAACAGGCTCTTTTTCCATCGCAGGTGAATTAATTTGATTCTTTACTCGCTGTCTCTGCGAGATGTGGCACGTACAGTGACATACTTAACAGCTACAGCTGCTGCTGAGCAAGCTCAGGAAAGGGAAAGGAGTCTGGAAAGCTCGGTGCCCAAACTCCATAAACATTTGTACACCTCCATTCAGTGGTATAATCCCCCTTCCCTTGGTATCACTGATGTCAGCACTCCTGCTCCTTCCCAGCAGTGTGTGTACCTGGCACAGCTGGAATGAGCACCTGCAGTCCCAGCAGATACAACAGTCCATGTTCATCTAGGCTGTCAGCACAGCAGCTCCACAGAATTTTCCCTAGCTCAGCATGGAAACAAACTGCCAGGAAGAGGAAGCATGTGTGTGACGTGTGAAGTTAACCAATCTACGCAAGCACTTCCCTCTCCCCCCACCACATACACTACACCCTGCCCTCCCGGCCTTCACCCCGTCCCTAGTTTTGGAAACTAGAAAACATACTCTGTAGTAATAAAACGATGCTTTGGGGCATGTGATTCTTTGGCTTCCGAGAAGTTTGCTGTCACGCCATAAAGCTCACGCAAAGGCCTCGAGACCACGCGAGGGACTGCAGAGCAGACACACGACTGCCACGCACACCTTATGACTGACTTACGCACACATTTCACTACTTTCTTGGGTTGAGAGCATCTAGAAGGTTTGTGCAAACAGACTTTGGTGCCATTTTATGCTCTCATCACATTATCAAGTCTTGAAACTATGCACATTTCTAGATAACCGTGCGCCAACAGAGCGTTTTGCGAGCAACATGAGCCGGTAGCACTGCGTGTTTCAGTGGTGCTGGGCGGGCAGCGGTGTAAGAGATGACTGTCTACTTTTTTGGAGGCTTGCTTTTTATCGTCACTGCATTTTTAATAAATACTAGCTGTAATGGAGTGCGTTTTGGTTTACTTTGAATACCATTTTTATTCGTTCAGAGAAACACCTATGCTTTAACCTGTGAGCTGTGAATAGTTAACTTGGGACAAGCAACAAGACAGACCTCATCAGTTGCAGTGATTAGTCAGCAATTAGCAAGGGATCAGTCACGGTAACTTCCCACTGTAAGGAATCTACTATTTCCCTTTTTGTAGAGGGGATCTCATCTCTTACCTGGCTGATACTAAACTGAGTAATCCTGTAGCCTTGGCATCATAGCCTATCAACTCTCATCCCAGCTTCTCCCTCATGCCTGTTCCGAGCCTGTGGCTGTGTCTGTGCTGCGGAGTGACATAAGGAACTGGTGCTGTCAGAGCTCTCCCTTCCTAGTCTGAGGGACCATGCACTGAAACCAAGATCTGGGGAGGTGCCTGTATGGAAGTCCATCCCCCCTGAATCATGAGGAAGCCAAAGGGAAATTCCCCTTCTCATCCATCTGAGCTTCCAGGAAGGCTCTCGCCTCCTCTGCTATGCAGACCTGCTCCTGCCCAAGGCAGGTCAGTCGATTGAGCTGCAAGCAGCCGCAGCGCAGGTGCTCTGCGCCAGGGCAAAGGCAGCAGCTCTGCTGCCAGAGGGGCTCTCTGCCTCTCCAACGTACGGCCTCCAAACGCTGCCCATCCTGGGGCGATAGCACAAAACTTTACATTCCTTTTCTAGGAGCTGCTTCCTCATTCAGAGCTAGATTTTGCGAGGTTTTTACCCAAAAGAAACAGTGTAAAGCACCGAGCCCTCCACCTCCTTCCCCCAAAGGTGCCGGTCGCACCTCCCTGGATGCCGGCTGGGGGTGGTGGCAGCCCTGATGGCGCACGCACAGAAGAGCTGCTGCCTGCTGGCAGCTCGCTCGGCCCTGCTAACGTCCCGTTTGCGCGGCACCGCCCGCTCGCTGTTAATCCAGCCTGCGCCTTTTGTGGCAACTCGGCCCGTCTTTCCTTCACGGCCACATCCTGAGGCTACTTACCCCACCCTCGGACTGCCCTGGAAAAAATTGCATGTGGCACACAGAGGAGAAGCCAGCAGAAGGTGGTCACTAAGTGTGCTTGAAGAGGTGATGCCAGAGGGTGATGCTTTCGGAAAGGGCTGGCAAAGAACAGCAGGGCTTAGGGGGCAGACATGGCTTGAAGCACTTAG